TTTTATGTAATTTAATGATAAAAAATATATTAATTAATTTTTTAATCTATATCTTAAATGTATAAGTTTAAAAAAAATCTTATTTTTAAAAATATAAAAAATAAAAAATAATAATTTAACTGTTATTATAATGAATGAAAGTTATATAAATATCAAGGATTCAATGCACCATAAAGAAAAGTTGCTGCAGGTGCTTTTCCTTCCTATTATTTGACAAAAAGAAAAGTTGAACTTTGTATTCAATTGTTGCGGTTTGCTGTTGTTATCTGACTTTTATTTTGTCTTATATTGTTGATTGAATAATTTTCCTGGGGTTCATTCTACCATAACTGTGTATCAGTTTCTATCTCTTGATGCATCTTCTTTACACAAAAATGGAAGAATCGTCTACCTATCTTGCAAAAAAGAGGTACTTTGTTCGTCTGAGAGTTTCTTATTCTTTGAAAATCTCCATCCTTCTTTGCAACTGAATCTTTTTCTTCCTGTCATCTCAGGTATGCAGTAGTTACAGGGGCAAACAAGGGGATTGGATTTGAAATATGCAAGCAGTTGGCTTCCAAAGGGGTCATGGTGGTCTTGACGGCTAGGGATGAGAAGAGGGGTCTTGAAGCTGTAGAAGAGCTCAAAGAATCTGGTCTCTCTGAAAACATAGTTTTTCACCAACTTGATGTCACTGACCCTACCAGCATTGCTTCACTCGCGCATTTCATCAAGATCCAATTTGGAAAGCTTGATATCTTGGTCCGATTGACAATCTATTTCTTCAAAATAGTCATTTTCTATTTTCTCTTAGTAGATAATGGAAAAAAAAGATGGATTCTTGTGCAGGTGAACAATGCAGGAGTTGCAGGAGCCATCATAGATTCAGATGCTTTTGTCAGAGCAGTTGAACTTGTTGGTGATTGGGTAAGTTTCCTATTTGTGATAATGTCTTTTGGGCTGCAAATTATAACTTTGAGTATGAAGATCATCCTCAATTGTATCATTACTTGAGTTAGTTTTAGCCAAAGGAAGGCCTTAACATGAAAGACTTAAAAATCCCATTTTTAAATGCAGCCAACTGAAGATAAAGTGAACTGGAATGAGATTGCAACTCAAACTTTGGAGTTGGCGGAAGAATGCTTGAAAACAAACTACTATGGTGTTAGAAGAATGGTTGAAGCACTTGTTCCGTTTCTAAAGTTATCTGATTCGGCAAGAATTGTAAATGTTTCCTCTTATTTGGGACTACTGAAGGTATTACATAACCCTATTTCCATGTGTGCTTGATGTTCATTGTTCAAAATCATATGTTCCAAAAGCTTAATTGAGATGTTTTTTCTCACGTTGATTCAGCACATTCCCAGTGAATGGGCTAAAGGAGTGTTAAGCAATGATGAAAGCCTAACAGAAGAGAGGATTGAAGAGGTCTTGAATGAGTTTCTTGAAGATTTCAGAAAGAATGTGCTGAAAGCCAAAGGATGGCCTACTTATCTGGGAG